AAACAATAATACTGATAAATTTAGAGAAATTACTTTCAAGAGTTTCACCAGAAATTCTGATTCGTTAGTTACTTCGTTCGAAAAAAATTCTATTGTCTTGATGGTTGGCCATTATGTGTGTGAAGATAATGTAGAATATGTATATATTAATTACTATTCTTATTTTTATTAAATAAATTATAAACTCAATTCATGCTTTATTATTTCTCTAAAGTCACTATAATTCAGTCTGTTTCCACATTTTATTCTGATGATGAATATACTCTTACCCAAGAAAACCTCCCAAATTTATCTCCCTTATTACTTTACTCAGCTCCTGTAGTACCAAATTTATATATTCCTGACAATAATGGAGGTCGAGAAAGTTTTATGCTAGCAAGGCATTTGTATAATAGAGTCACTAACAATAAACAAATTGACTCTAAAGTTATTATATCATATCTAAATAAAAACAATCATTATAATGCCTTAAAAAATAATCTAAAAAGAACTGTCTTATCTGTTGTAGGATGGTTGAAACTTGGATTAAAAAAACTTCTACATATTCTTGCTTCTGATATTGAATAGACCTATCCAACTAGTGACTCTTAAACTTCAAATACTTTGTCTAGTAAAACAACATCTTCACAAGAAGAACTTAACACACAACTTGAAAGCATCTAAGAAAAATATGCTGCATTGACATCTCAATTCTCTCAAAAAAGACAAAGTATTAATTTACAAAATTCTTTTTTTAAACCCCAAAATAACAAAACTACATTTCTAAATTTTATAGAAGTCATCTCCCGAATTCAAAAAAAAGCTTCTTCTGCTAGACCTTCTCATACAGAGTCTACCCAACAAGTTATCAACGAACCTAACTTGCAAAATACGAATGAAACTCTCACTCCTATTGCATCTTTTGCAAATAAAACAAACACTTCTATTAACAATAATATACCCATTGAACCTACCCACTCTGATACTCCTATTCTTCAAGGCGAAAAATCTGATACTAATAAAAAGCGTCTAAGACCACTTCTACCTGCA